CCATCAGGTGAGACAGCATTGACCGCAAACACTTGCAATCAACTGATCCGTTGTCTCGACAGCTGAAGAGTCATCAGATGACACACACGGGAGAGACGCCCATCAGTTGTCGGGTTTCCGAATGCGAGCAACGGTTCAAAACGAAACGAGTAATGCTTTCACATCTGCAGAAGTTTCACGGAATCGACGTTTGATTTGTTTTCCAGAGTTTTATTGATTTTTAAGCGATTTATAGATTTTATAATAAAGTTATTAATATTGAAAAAGTTTTGCGTTATTTCTGTTGAGTTGAGAAACGATTGCAATGTTTTGCTCAACAAATGCAAGACTTTTAAATGCATTGAATGCGTGACAGTCTGTCAGACATGAGTCACCACCAGATGCCCGAAGACCAACAATTGAGACAATACTTCGCGGCCGTCGACAAAGACCGAAGTGGTCTCATAAACGGCGCCGAACTTCAGTCGGCCCTCTCTAACGGCACGTTCAACGCCTTCAACTTAGACACTGTAAGCACTTCCACCTCTTAGACTAAGAGCTCTTGAGACTCATGTGTTGCTGATGATCATCACCATTGAAGGTGCATCTCATGATATCCATGTTCGACACCAACAAGAAGGGAACCATCAGTTTGGAGGAATTCGGTCGTTTGTGGCGATATATCACCGATTGGCTCAACTGTTTCCGATCCTTTGATGCGGACAACTCGGGATCAATTGACGCCAAAGAATTAGCGACAGCTTTACAGTCTTTCGGCTATCGCTTCTCTCCCGAGTTCTACACGAGTCTGACGACCAGATTCGAGGGTCGCATCCATTTCGATGACTTTTTAAAGATATGCATTCATTTGCAGTCTTTAACGCAAGAGTTCCGCAAATACGACACCGATTTGGACGGCGTTATCACCGTTTCCTACGAACAGTTCATTTCTCTGGTCTTTGCCATTGTTTTGCGAAGACATTGAAAATGAATTCAAAACCAAATGTCAAATGAATTGTTTTTATATAAGGAAATGTTTCGATGCTTTCATTCATTGCATTCAAAATTGTGTTAATTTTATAAATAAAATCCATTGAAAAACACGAGACTTGCGTTCATTTGAATTTCCTTTCATTCCTTGCGATGACTCTCTTCAAGACTGTTCTCGTTTTGTCCGCACTTTTGGCGCCAATATCTTCTCAGTGTCTTCCGTCGCGAGTGGACGCCATCGCCAGTCTCGCTAACGGAACCGTTTTCGTGGCTTCCGAGCAATTCTATTGGTTCCTCAATAACCAAACTATGACTGAAACCAGTAGAGGACGGATCGCTGATCTCATTCCCGGAATGTCTTTGTTGAAATTGGCGGTCAGTCTCAGGACTTCCGTAGAGAGCAAACCCACGGAAGTGCTCTTCTTCCAGACGGTGAGTCCAATGAGTGTTCATTCAGACAATAATTGGGAATTTGTGATCAAGTTTGAAGAAAATCGGTTGAAATATAAGATTTACGATTTGAAATCCAACAAATGGACAGATGGTCGACAATATGTGACAGAGTTTATGTGGAAAGTGGCCAAAAGGAAAGTCACTTCGGATGCGTTGAGTCAAATGCAAGTGTTTCTTCTGTACTTCAAAGATCTCGGGAATCCCGTCCTTTTGATGGCTTTGAGTGAGTTTTAGGTGTTTTGTCAGTTAAGCACTTATTGGTCCGCTTTTCGCAGACAATTCAGCCGAAGC